CGATTGGATCATATATCTTGCGACAGGACCCAGGGATTGATGGGAGGAGAGGGATCAGGGGGAGTTGGAGTTGAGTTGACAGCCAATGGAGGGGCAGTAGGGAAGAAATAGAGTGAGATTTTTTTTTTTTTAAGCTATATTGTATGAACTGTTTAAAATTGTAAATGTATTATTTTATGTATTATTTTTTCATTTTGGGAAAAAGGAAAGTAAATAAAGTTTAAAGAAAAAAAACTAATAGACTGTGAATTAGTAACCCAGTCTCACACTAGGATCGATGGCACAATATCAATTTTCCATCTCTCAAGTGCCTTGAAAAATTAAGGAAAAAAATGTTTCCCTTAATTTTAATCTTTCAGCTGTTTAATTGATAGCTTCCCAATTTGGTATCCTTATGTGAGATTTCCATATCTTAGGGTATCAAATTAGAGATTTATCTGCAAAGCAACTAAAAGAGACATTTTTTAAAAAGGCTTTCTTTATTTTTGCTCTTTTTGGTACCCTAATGTGGGGATTTTCACAAGTTCCCCTATTTAGGATCCCAAATTAGGGCGCTGTTCAGTAGATGGCTCCCCTTATTTGGTATCTAGATGTAGGGTTTCCCTACTTTGGATTCCAAATTAGGGCGCTGTTTTGTAATTTAGAACCCTTATATGGGATTGTACCCTTAGTACCCTTATATGGGATTGTACCCTTAGTACCCTTATATGGGATTGCCTATTTAAGGATAACTAATAAGAGTTCTGTTTATAAGTTTTTTTTAGGCTGTTGTGCAGGACATGAACAGAGCTGCACTTGGTGACTTTGAAAACTACTGCATAGCACTAATCACACCTTGCACATAAGTTTGCTTAAAACTTTTATGATTTTGTTTTTTCTTAATAGTTTTTTTATGCTGTTGTTTAGGACGTGAAGTGCTGGCCTTTGTGAAACCTGCTGTGTAAGTGTGGCAGCACTTTTCAAACACGCCACAACTGTTTTCTAAAATATTTTCTTATGTTTGTTTTGTTGTTTTTTGTGATTGTTTTTTTTATGCTGTTGGGCAGGACATGAAAAGTGTTGCCGTCTGGGACTTTGAAAACAACTGCATTGGCGGGGCAGCACTTTTCACACTCTGCACACTAGCTTGCTGAAAGACTTTATTATTTGTTTTTTGGAAAAACAGTTCATTTTATTCTGTTGTGCTGGACATGAAAAGGGCTGCCCTATGTGACTTTAAAAAAAAACACTGCATTGTCATAACAGCATTTATCTCTCCCTGCACAACACTTTGCTGATTGAATTTTGTATTGCTTTCATTGAAAAATAGTTTTAGTTTTTTTTTCATTTTTTCACTTACTAGCTGTTTCCTAACCATCAACCTTTTTTCTACCTCTTGATCGAACAGCTGACACAATCCACCTGATTGGACATACCTCTTGTCCATCATGGCAAACTCAGCTGCTTATTATTTGACCAACCAAAAAAAAACACTTCTCCATTCCGTCTCGCTTTTTTCTTGTGCCAGGAATGGCATGGCAAATCCTTACTAGAAACAAATAAGCTTGCGAGTTGGATTTCTCCCGAGATTTTAGCACGTGGCGTTTTGCAAAACAGATATTCAGACAACCACCAGTACTGCAGTTCGGCCCAAAACAAATCTTCAAGTCTAGTAAGATTAAAATTAGATGTTATTGTCACGTATTATCCCTTTCAGAGCATCAAAAATAATGAAGGGGTTTTCCAAAATATATTTTTAAAGGAATGAGTCACTGAGCTAAGGTCATGTATCTAATTTGGATGTGTGTCAAGAAAACTAACCATTGTTATAGACAATGTAATGAGCATCGGATTTCTTGACGGGAATTTGTTAATACAGTGGGTGAAGGTAGATATTATAGGGACACTCCAGACATAAATATTATATTTATACATTATTTGAGCTATAAAAAATAGACATTTTATCTTGGACCTGCAGAGGTTTCCTCTTTTTTTTTTTTAGTTTTAGATCCCTCCTCTTGTGCCCTGTAGTTTTTGTTTAGAAATAGTATTTTCAATAGTGTCATGAAAATTGTTTGACCTCCCTTTTACTTGTGTTGCCCTGGTGGTATACTCTTCTACAAATATTCTGGTGACGATGTGGTATGAATTGAGCAAATATCTATGCTTCATCTGGCATTGAACTTCCCCAAAGCTATCTTGTGGTCTGACTATGTGGGTACTGAAGGCAAGTGTGTGGGGATCTGGTGTCATATGCAGTGTGCGCTGTTTGTGCTTTGTATACAGTCAGACTGCAATAGATCTGCTCCCACTTCATGTCTTCATGCCTACTCTACTTATATCAAAGAGCGCTACTGTGTTGCTGAGGCTGCTGTTTCTATTGATAGATATTAAAGGAACACTATAGGGTCAGGAACACAAATGCTGCTGGAGAAAGTCACACTTTGTATCTGACTTCCTCCACTTTAATTTTATGCTGCACTTCTACAGCCTGGCTCTTTCCGCTGCATAAGTACACTGTCCCATCAACCCAAACACCTATTTTCACATTTTTCATGCTCTTCTTCTACCACCTTATCCGCCACAAACTTTGCATCTCACTTCACTGAGAAGATCTCTACAATCAGAGAAGAGATCTCTAATATATCACCCAACCACACTCCCTCCACCATTCTACACTCATTCGCACCTGCTAGAGCAGAAGAGGTTTCTGCTCTGCTCCAGCCCTCCCGCCCCACCACCTGTTCCCTCAATCCTATTCCCTCGTATCTCATCCGCACTTTCCCTCTTTTGCTCTTCCTCTCACTAAAATGTTCAATCTCTCCCTCTCCTCTGACATTTCCCTCACCCTTCAAATATGCAACTGTAACCCCAATTCTGAAAAAGCCCAGCCTTGACCCCAACTCCCCCATCCAACTACTGCCCTATCTCACTACTGCCATTTGCCTCCAAGATCCTCGAGAGAGTTGTGTACACCACATTAACTGACTTTCTCGAATCCAACTCTCTGCTTGACCCCCTTAAGTCTGGATTCCACGCTGGTCATTCTGTCGAAATGGCTGTGACCAATGTATCCAATGATTTAATTGCTGCTAAATCTCACGGCTATTACTCTATCCTAATTCTCCGGACTTATCTTTTTGTATTTATATTTCTCAACCCTGGTGAAGGAAACTGTGATTGAGAAAAAAACATGAATATCACTTAAAATCTTAAAGGGACACTCTGGACCCCTAATGTACTTCAGCTTGCTGAAATGCATCATGCATGACAAGTGTGTCCTCTTTTATTTTACATTCTACCAAAAATGATTTTGATAGAGATTGGAGCACTTTTATAAATTAACTTTGTAACACCCCACTGGCTGTCAATCAGACACCAGTTCCGGTTTGGTTACCTCAGTGGAGCTAAACTCAAGCGGCAGTCAATTGCCCAGAGCAGCCTCCTTGCAAAGACTTCTCATTGGAGAAAGTTTGGGCAGGGTTAGAAGAGAGGGGCTTGCAAAGACTGCAGACAAGAGAGGTGCAACTTTTGCAAGCTGTATACAGATATACCGCCAATTAAAAAAATGCATAGTTAAAGGACCACTATAGTGCCAGAAAAACAAACTAGTTTTCCTGGCAATATGTAGTCCCTAGGTCCCCCCCACGCCCCCTCTCCACCCCCTTACCTTAATCCAGCACCAGGCTCCCTTGGCGCTGGTGACCTCTCCTCCTCCTGCCGATGTCAGCGTCGAATGCGCATGCCCAGAAAAGAGCCATTTGCGCATTCAAACCACAAATAGGAAAGCATTACTCAATGCTTTCCAATGGACATCAGCGTCTTCTCACTGTGATTTTCACAGTGAGAATCGCGGAAACGCCTCTAGTGGCTGTCAGTGAGACAGCCACTAGAGGCTGTGGATTAACCCTCAGTGTAAACATATTGAAAACACATGTTTTCAGCTGCAGGGTTAAAACTAGAGGGAACTGGCATCCAGACCACTTCATTGAGCTGAAGTGCTCTGGGTGCCTATAGTGGTCCTTTAAATGCATGCAAGTTTTCATTGGCAGTATATACACTAAACAGTGATTTAAAAAAAAAAAAAAATATTAAGACAGTGGAATGTCCCTTTAAAGTATAAAAAGGTATTTAAGGAGGACGCAGACTATGACCCTTGCTGCACTGGGAGATGTTTCCACTAATTCTCTCGTATAGTGGATCTCTGTGAAGTGAGAATAGCTGAAGGGGCAGGTGCATGTTTCAGGGATACAGAAGAAAGGAAAAGGTAAAAAAAGCAATGTAACAACTATATGATTCATATACAATAATAAATAAAGTCTTGGAAAAAGCTGCATCATAATGTAACCTAACACTCAGATCTCTTCCCACAGTTATCCAAATTACATGGACATTCAATTTTCAGGTTTAATTTTTTTTCTTCTCCAAGGAATGAAACCTCTGTTCTAGCTAAGTTAGACCAGCTTCTCCAAATTCCAGCAGCAACTTAGAGTGCTGGAAAGGAAGTAGGCACAATTAAGCATTAACCCTTCAACATCACAATGTTTTTTTCTGCTTATTACATTGGTGACAGAATAAAATCTTTCTAATGTTACAAGACATAAGTTGTCATGCAAAAAGTACGGGCTGTGTGCCTGTAAGTTAGTCTGTACTGATATTGAACATTGTCACTGTTTTATTCAATAATGTGGAAATTGTCAGGAATTTAAAGTGAATTACTAATGGTTGTCCAACATTCTGAACTGAAAACGTAGCTCTCAGGGAGACTTTTTTCCCATTTTAGTTAATTAAGCCATGGGGTGCCAAAAAGGTAGGTCCCCAGATGTGTTAAAACTACAATTTCTTTGATGCTTTGTCATTCTAAAATCATTCTAAAAGCATGCAAAGCATCATGGGAGGTGTAGTTCTATAACATCGAGGGATCTTCCTTTTGGTCACCCCTGATTTAGACTAACATTTGAAATTCATATTTCATTCTTTTTGAATTCCTGACAATTCACTTTATTGAATAACCCTGTGTAAGTACATCAGCTAAATGCTTATGCCTTTTATAATCAGTCCCTAGAGCAGGGACTCCAGATGTTGTTGACTACATCTCCCCTGATGCTTTGCCAGCATTATAGCTGTAAGGGTATTCTGGGGGATGTAGTCTACAACATCTGGAATGCAGACGTTGCCTGCCCTAGAGAACATGATCGTTTTGCAGTAACAGACAGGGCTCTCTCTGTGATATACATGTAACACATCAACATGTTTCAGGATAGGAAAGCTTCTATTGGTGTGGGAGGAGAATTAAGTGAGTGGAGGGGAGGGCAGTGTGTATAAAGACAGGGTGTGTGTTTTCTGGGAAAATTATTTTTTGTGTGTCTCGGTGACGTCTCACAGTGCTCCCTGCTTTGAAAACAAATTGCTCTTTGACGTTATCGTTTCCAATCAGTTATATGGTAGCTGCAAATAACACAGCACTGGATAAGAAAACTTTGTAGATGACAATGTAAACTTGTCACTGTATAAACAAACTTATATAGAAAAATACCTGGGATTCCGATTTGGATTGTAGAAATCAGCAAGCAAGCATGGGTAGCAAGAATGGATGGCATGATCACCTCGTCTTAGGCATCTGGCTGTCTATGACTTTAACTGCTGGGTCAACCCAGGGGGGTGAGTATATTTACTGTTTATATAAAGTAGCACGCTGAATGTAGAGAAGTGAGGAGTTAGACTTAATATCTGCATTAGGTCCATGTTGTCGCTTCTTAGTATTTCAGAACAGAGGGAAAAAAATAAACTTAATATTAATACATCAGTCAAGACAATCGAAGGCAGAGCAGTTTATTGTGAACTATATTGCCTACAACGCTCAGCCAGCCTTCAGACTAACTGAGGAATTGATCTCTTCATTGCGAAGATTACACATTTTAGTTTATGATGATAAATAAAATAATATAAAATAATATAAAATATTTAGCTGTTTAAATGTAAAGTTATATAACATGTAAGCAGATAATTCCTGAAACAAATGGAGAGGAAAATCCAGCATTGATGGCTCTTTCTGTCAGTACAGGGATGGAGAGATTAGCAGTTAGAGATGCAGGCTACTTTGGCATGGAATAGCCATCAAAATGGAAACCAAATAAAATCTGGGGAGACAACCTTTTATAACAATTTAGAGAATATACGTGAAACCATGCAATTTTGTTACTGAAAGGCTATATGTGGAATGACATGTAGATCTATGTAAGCTACCTGACCTCACCTGGTAATACATATATAAATATGCAATTTCTCACAAAAATCAATTATTCAATAATGCTTAGCCATTGATATTTTTATTTCTTGAAATCTAGTTGTTTTAAAAGCTATGTGTGGAAGTTAATAAATTCTTTTAAAATATGTTTTGCTTGTCTCATGTTTACTGAACTGTAAAGCATATGATTTCAAAAGCCACACCATCATATCTGAGGGCATCTCACCCCTGTCATCCTCCCGCCAGCCTTTACATGCTCCCTACTATACCCATAGAAGGAGCACTGGTACATGATTCCCATTATTATGTTCTGAGTTAACTGGTAATTGGTGATTCTTTGAATATTGCTTTGTGACTTCTGCAAGAGGACACATTTTACCATGTTGGGAAATTCTAGATTCCAAAAGAGGGAACTACTGGTGAAAAAGTAGCAATTTAGAAAGTAAGCTACATGTATCTTAAAATACAAGACCCGTATACTTGTCAACACTGGCGATTATAAATTAGACTTGTGCATGTTAAAATAAAAATTGTCCATGAATTATTATTTTTTTTTGTTCGGGTGGACTGAAATTCGTCTATTTCGTTTTTTTGTTTGGCTGAATTTCAGCCATACCATCGTTTCATGAACAATAATTCAAACAAAAAGCATAAAAATGGCCAAATCAGTTTGCTGCAAAATATATACAAATATTATATTAATGTTTCGCAGTACACTAGTACACTGGTAGGCTCATTTCCTCGCCATTTGGTTCAGAGATCAAGTAACCAATTGAATGAAAAAAAGAGGATGATTATTAAAAAAAAAATCTATATTTATATATTATATATTTATTAAATATGTAATCTATAAATACAGATTTTTTATACTGTTCCTCTTTTTGACCTCCATCGGTAACATCTAACTTGATATGAGTATAAAATCAGCACTTAATGGCAGTGCCCTAACTATCAATCATTTTTTTCCAACAATCCATTTTTTTTTTTTTTTACGCCTTGGGCAGAACTCTAAATTATCGTACAGCACTGCTGTATAAAACATACAAAATTGTTTGTCCATTTTCGATTTCGGCTGTGTCTTCATTCGGTTATAAGGATATTTTAAGATACGGAATTCAAACGATCCACTGATCACTCAAAATGTGCCCGAAACCTTGTCTCCCATGAAGACATGTACGTTCTATCTTGTCCAACATTGCATTAATTTCTCGCAACGTAACCTCACTCCACATACATGCTAAACTACATAGCAGTAACCCATCAGTTATTTTAAGCCTGCTTCTATTAAGCTTGTTTATCTTTAAAAATGTGCAAACACTTGTGCCAATGTTAAGCCTGTTTGAATCCATATTTACGCTATTGTAGTGCTTGACAATGATATGTACCAACCTGCACAAAAAAAAAAAACTCAAATGTGGCTGAATTAGAATTCATTTAAATTGAATGCACAACTCAAATACAAATTTAGGACATGAGGTGGGCATGATGGTGTGCCAAGGAATCAACTCCTATATTCAGACCATCTGCTGTTTCCATTTAATGATGACAACATGGCATTAGACAACTGTGGAATCTGAAATGTAGTTATACCACTCACAATACTTGATTTATTTATCGTGTCTTACTTTGCTGGGTGACATACGAGAAATGCGTGGTGATTAGAGAGTGGAAACAGCAAGTAAAAGATTTATTTTGGCCTCATATTGACACCCACACTATGCTTTCGAGAATACCGGTGTAAGAGAATTTATTAGGTTGAGTCAAAACTATTGCTCTTTTAAAACATATGAGACAATGATAGAGGATTTACAACATCTTTGTATAACCTGTGAAATGTATTTAAAGAAATCCAA